ATTATATATATTTTTTCTTTTACTCTAGTCGCTCACAGTTTGTTTCACCATTTCAAACAGAGTAGCTGAGCTGGAATTCTAACTATTTTAGGGGACAGTCATTTCCATACAAATGATTCATTTTGTCTGAGACCAAACACTCCTTTTTCTTTCCTTTGCACTTTTCTAACAAGAAGCAATTTCTGTTTGGTAAAAGGTAGGAATATAAATTTTTAGAAGCCCTTAAATTTAAATAAAAAAAATTCAACCTCTATTGTCAATAAAAGAGCTTTCTTCTTGTGTCAAATAGCAAGTTCAAGCCCAATATTCTCATTTGCTGTACCTCCAAATGCTAAAATATGACTTGTACACACGTTTCCTGAACAAATACAGAATGTTTGGAAAATATATCAAGTTTGGCCTTACTGTAGAAAAATGTCATTGTGTCATATTATTTTCTGTCAATGACAAATCTACACAGGAAAGTTAGAGCAATATTTCCATTGACCTCCCTTGTCTGAATTAAAGGCAAGAGAAACTTTTTTTTGTTACTTTTCTCAGAAGCTTTCAAAATGTCAAGCAGAGAAATAATAAGAATGTGGTAAACGTCAAAGATTTATACCTCACAGAAAGAATATCCAAATGGTTGAAGTCTTTTTTGCAGGATTTTTGCTCTTTCTCTGTTGTGTATCCTTTTTTGACTAGCATAGCAATTTTGATAAAACCTAAATATAACCAATATTTTAGTCACTATCACAACAGCTCACACATTAATGTCAGGAAGCTAAAGCTTTCACTGTCAGAAAGTCATAAAAAACCTATTATTTTGCTCATCTGTTCTAAGAGGTTGCCAGTTTTGAAGGTTTTGCTTGTTACTAATACAAGTTTGTTCCTTTTCTGCCTTGGAGACAAAGGCTGCAAGAATGCACCCTTCACTGTGTGATGCAAAAAATAAAAGGGTTATGGCACTTGTGGTAGGAGAGGTAGGTGCTCAGAGAGCTGTCACCTTTTACACCCAAATCTGCATCAATGCATCCTGGACCCTGAGACAACAACTTTTCCTCTTATTTAACTTAAGTAAACTGATTAAAGATGTATATCGGTACCTGCTGTATCTTATACGCCTCATTGTACATTACAGTTCGAAGAAATACTGTGAATTAATATGTCTTCATCAGCCCTGTGTAAGTTAAAACTAAGCTGCTTACTCAGTAAAAATTAAACAGTTAATTAAACCACTAAATGCATGGAAAAAAATACCTGTTTTCTGAGAAATAAACGTACCGTTTGTCGGCCAGTTAACTAAAATGTCCATACGTGCAGGCTAATATGAAATGCTGGAGGATTTATGCAAAACACAAACTCCAGAGGCTGTGCTCAGCATTAGGAAGCAATTCTGCAAGATGGCCAGGAAAATAACTGAGTGGCAGTGAAGAGAATTGAAACTAACAAACCTCTTTGCGTTTTTTTTTCCGATTACGTCAGATCACAGCCCAACTCTGCAAAGCAAACACATATCAGCCTGATCTTCCTTGTGTAAAAACTGCAGTGCTTGGAAAAATTGCAGTTTTTCAAAAGTGCTGTCTTAAAACATCTCTCGGTGCTTTACAATGCATTCTATTTTTTATACTCATAAATCAGTCTTGATAATGCAAAGTGCTAAATCAGGCTTAGGGAGAATAGCTACAGAATAGCACACTTTAGGTGCTTAACAAAACTGATAATAATGCCATGATGTGCCGTTTGGTAATCATTAGAATGCAGTAAAAAGCTTCCTGTTTTTCTAAAGGAACCAGGCTTTTTTTTCTTGGTTCTTAAAGGTTTTTCTTCCTGTCGTCTGAAGGTTTCTTTCAAAGAAGGGAATTGGCCAGCAGAGAGAGAGAATTGCAAACAGGTCAAGACTCAGCTTTCCGCTTTCATCTCAAAGATAAGCGACAGCCTTTTCAGGGCAGTAATGTACACATTGGAGACAGAGAAGATAGATGGGTTGAGGTGGGGTGCAGAAGGGGGGGCGGTGAAGAAAACCATCTGTGTTCAGTGAGAAAGCAACACTAAACACATGAAGTGGCCTCAGGTATCACCAATCCAACCCAGTCCGGCCCGACTCGCCTCGGCAGGTAGATTCATGACTATTTTCCCCATTGATACATGAAGCCAAAACACTTCAGATGTTTGTCAAGAAGATAAATTGCTCCTGGGTTGATATGATCCAAACTATCTGTCTGGGTCGGTGGGTCAGTGATGCACATTTGACTTCTATCACTCACTCAAAGTGGATCACACACCCACTTATGACTAACCTAGTATTTTAAAAACAGGCTGTTGAAACTAAAGAATAGTATACACTTTAGGGTATCCTGACCTGGATAGTCTTAGTTTATAGAACAGAAAAGCCTATTTTTTAAGGGAGGATATTATGCAAAATCAACTTCGGAGCTTTATATAATTTCCTCATCAAAAACATACCCAGAGTGTTGCTTTGACTCATGACGCATGTTTGAGAAATCCTTGGATCTCCTGTGGTAGCCATTAGGAGATGCTTAAACACTTGCTGGTACAAAGCCCCGCCTATTTACCCAAAACTCCTCCTTTTAGCTTAGTCTGCTGCCGAGCTCCGCCCCACAGAGCACCCCTCCACTGATCCTCCCCCACACAGTTTCACCAGACTAGCAAAACACAACTTAAAAATGGTGGATGTTCATGATTTTATTGCAAATCATAGCTTCATAATGACCTATATTTATAATTTATTTGCAAAAACCAGCTTAACATTGACGTATATGAGAGAATGACAGAGATATAATGTATTACCGAGCTGAAACATCTTGTAAGAGTCTCTGTACTTGCTCCGGTTCTTCAGAAAACGTACTTTCCAGGTCCGACGTGGGATCGCTGGAAAAAGGTTCAACTGTATCCTGATCTGCCTTTTTCCAAAAACGTTACTTGATGTTTCTTCTTTTATTTACAACAAAGTACAACACTCCTACAAACGGTTTTAAACAGCATGAAATGTTGTGAAGACATGCTGAAGTGGGAGTGTTGGAAATGGTAGGAGGTTCTTAAAGAGACAGAGGCCAATTCCAAGGCATTTACATAGACTATGATACAAAGTCAAATTTATTTTTGATTTACTATATACAGCATTTTCATAACAACTGAAGGTAACATAGTTACTTGGTAAAGAATTGAACTATGCGCCTGGAAAATACATAATACCCCTCCCATCACCACCGCCACCACTTTAAGATTTATCTATAGCATCTATAGCGGTGATGCTTCTTTTAATGTTTTTAAAAGCTTTTACACAGTTTTATTATTCTTTGTAAGTAGTCAGTGACATAGTATATTTTATATCTGTAAGAATGGGACTATTTATAGATAGGAAAACTGGATCCAAGCTCACCAGTTGGAACATGTTACCAAGGTTAAGATCTCTGTAAACAATAGATTTAACCAACATCTACTACTTCTAATGCACACCATCACCACTATTTCACACTCATTAGCACAGTATTTGCAACTTTAAAAGAAATTGGCATCAGTATGCCTGTTCATACTAAACTAGTTATCAAGGAGAATTAATTGTTTTTTGAAACCGAAATGCTCCTAAGTACATAATTTTAAATGTCCCAAGTGTTTCTTGATGTTAAATACATGTTTATTCAATTTAAGCAGTTAGGCTCATTTTTTTGTTAAATGAAGTATACATATCAACTATAATATTAAAAAAAATCTGTGTTGTATATTGTAAGCTGCCAAGATTTTTAAAGATTGACATGGGATATAATAAACACTTTATCGTTTGATCACTAATTACAGCTGTAATCCCTCTTTTTTTGTGGCAGTTTCCTTAATATGTCACTGTATTCTGTGGCGTTTAAGTCGTCTATTTACAGATTTCTCCATCTTTTTTCCCCCGTTTGGCATATCTTGGCAGCGAAGTGACAGATTAACCTGCAGTTGGCCCATGTGCGAACATTTTGATTGACATTAAACAGCCTCTATGATAAAAGTCTCCGCTGCTTCCTTCACAGCCACTGGATATAACCCAAATCTAGAAAAAATAAAGTATTCTGCGGCAGGGATTGAAATATAAAGCCAGTAAAAACCTGGGACATCATCTCAATTTGTAAGAAGAAAAATCTAAATCTTGTACATTCCCACACGAGATAAATCTAATCCTCACACTCTTAACTCTTCTTTAAATTATCAACCAAACCTTTTAACTAATTACTAACAGTACAGTTAAGACATGTACAATCTGCTGTAAGCTGCAGTTATTAAAGTTGTGTTGTGATTATAAAGATCTGTGCTGCGGATTTGTACTTTCTGTGAGGATGATGGAGCACTGTCGCTGAGACGTCATCTGCGTGAAACGATTCTGTTTAACATCTGACTTTTGTTTGATGGAGGAGGAGCTTTGAGGCTTCTCATAGTTGGCCTGAGACAGAGACTGAGAGCAGGTGTTGGCAACTCACTGCAGGACTTTTTTTTCCCCTCTCTCTCTCTCTCCCTGTGAAATTCATTTGACTCCATTTTTATCCCCAAGCCCTGTAGGCCATCTATTACCTTGGGTCCTAGAGCTTGAGCTCCTGGTCCAAATGTGCATAAAAACAGCTCTGATCTTGTCTTTGCTCTGCGCAGCACGACAACCGAAGCCACTGTTTATCTTTGTGTGTGCATCAGAAATTTCTTTCAAATGAAGAACAAAAGAGTACTTTTTTTTCTGAAATGCGGTGCCCTTTCAGTGACATGAAGGATTTTTTTTTTTTCCGTTTGTATGGTACACTGAAAGTACAAAGTTAAACTAACTATTTTATTTAAGGAAAGCAGGAAGCTCCAGGTTAGAAATTAATGGGCTCCTGCTGAGGAAATATGTCGCGTGGTAATAAATAGTGAATGGTTGGCTTTACTGATACTCCCAGGAGGTTCTGTTAAATTTACTTTCTGCTACACCTGTGTAAAACTGACTCGACTGTCCAATATCTAATATTTTTGCTCCAATTTATTTGATTTCCCAGGTCTTTCTGCTGCTGTCCAGAAGTTTTCTCAGTCCCTGCAGGAGTTCCAGTTTGAGTGCATAGGTGACGCAGAAACAGATGATGAGGTGAACATCGGTAAGTACAGTTTAGCGAAACAAGAAACATTTGTCCTAGTGCTATGTTTTCAAATAAATGAAAAGAAAAACAACGTTTTTTTGTACCACGTAAAATTTAGCTCAGTATCAATAATGACAGAGTTATGACCATTTTTGTTTTGTGGTTAATGTGGATTATCTGTGGTAGCCATCTTAAACTGGAGTGACTAAATCAGTTGCACATGTACCTCTGTCATTTAATAGTTTTTTGACTAATCTTTTTCAATCACTTTACACTCAGATTATGTGTTAGAGTTCAGTCTCAGCTACTTCCACAGCAAATTTATGGTCAGTATTTGTAAATTTGGTTTATAGCCATTTTAGCATTTGCCAAGGTTGCGTAGGTGTGGCAGCCATCTTGAATTAGAGAATGACCCCAAAAGCCCATTGATTATTTTCAAATCATGAGCTACTGCTAATGGTACAGACAAATGAATAAACACACACACATAGGTTTTGTTTTTATATCCCCGTGGGGACAGTGCTTTGACTTCCTTTCATTTTCCAGTCATTTCTATAGCCTAACCCTGACTATGTACCCTAAAACTAACCCCACATGTGCATACCTGACCCTAAATCTAACCTAAACTCAATTCACACCTTAGTCCTAAATATACCCAAAATCATCATCTGTAACCAGGCTTTAGTTCCCATGAGGTGCATTTGGTCCCTGCAAACCTGCATTTTTCTGGAAAATTGTCCCCACGATGTAGCAAAAGTTGCCCACACACACAGATAGGAGCAAAACTATAATTGTTCTTGCTTTGCCTATAAGCTGCAAGCTATCAAAAGAAATAGGAGCATCAAACGTAAATGAAGTTGTTTTTTAACGTCATTCATTGTGTCGTAACAACAACTAGAACTTTTCCTCCTCAGTCTGGTGTCTCCCCTCCATTATCATGCGTTTCCTCTAGACAGTTTGTTGGGATATTAGCTAGCCTAAACAATATTATGGACAGCACACTTTTCTTACATACTTACTGTCATTTTTCACCTCTTCAAATGTGTTTTAATGCAGAATCTAAGTAGCGGGTTGCTTCAGTCCTTCACCTCAATTTCTGTTTCTGACTCTTTGCAACCTTTTATCTAAAATGCCTTCATAGGTATTTGGTACACTAACACTAGAGGAATGCATCAAATCTCCTCACCTGTCTCGAGTTGGGTCACTTTCTTAACAAATTTAATTAATGCATTCCTGAAAGGCTCTACTTTAATTGTCTCTAAGCATGGCTCATTAAGCATGTAATACCATGGCTGGAGCAGATTTGAAACTTTTAGTTTTACACGTGGATCCCTTTTTAGGGATGTGAAATCTTTAGTTGTCCTTAAAATCTCTGAATATGTGAGAAATTGAGTTGGCTCCAGACGTTAATCATTTGTAGATGTCAACTACCTTCTGCAAGTTTCAATAAAATTTGTTGTGGTTCATGAGATATTTTGTTTAATAAAAAAATCGCCCTCCCACACACACACAAAGGCAAAACCATTATAGCTTCATAAGAATCAATTTTTAGACTAAATTTAGGGTTTAGGTCTGAGGCTTACAAATCTTCAAGTACAGAAAAATTAATGCTATCGATGTGCTTATGCTGCTTCCCCCGTATCTTGTCACGTCTCCAAGAGATCTGAAGGACTAATTGTGATCAGTGTCAGAGATTAATGGAGGTGAAAGCCTTCTCGCCTTCATCAGGTGTGTGAAAGCAGCTGTGCAGGGGGAGACACTGGCTCTAATGGGCAGAGATGCCAGTCTGGCCGCTTCTTTCTCTTCTTGTTTTTGCACCACTCTCATTATTCCCAGCTTACGTCTCCAGCTCTGTGCTGAGCTGTCGACAGCTGAATTACTGTCCATCTGTGAGGGCTGGACTGCTTATCGACCCTCTCTTCACGAGGCTTTAATGTTCATCAGAATGCTAAATGAATAGTCTGTTTCTTTTTTTTATCCTTACACAAAGCCGCAGTAACCGTACGGTGGCCATAGGCACAGTTGCTAATTATGCTTAATGAAAAAATCCACACCCAGAGCCAAGTCTCATTAGAATAAAGCACACTTTAATTTGAGGCAATGCTCTCGTTCCCAGGCCTACTATAAAGTATATGTTGATTACTGATAGAGCAGTGGATATTTTAGCCTTTCACCTGTTTCTGTAATGCAAACAATTAGCACAATAGCAACATTTAAAACAGCAGCAGTCACATGTTAAGAGGAGTTTATGAAATTTAAAATGCAAAATAACATTAGGTCGTGTAACACGGTACACATTTTGAACTTTGTTGCATGAACAACACCTTTAGCACGCTGCATATGTGTTTTATGAACCGAAGCATTTGTGTGTCGGGTATCTCAAAATCTCATGAACCACTTGAGAGATTGTAATGAATTTCTCTAAAAGCAATCATTAATCAGTACTCTGAAACTTCAACTGCAGTAATCGCTACATCAACAACTGATTAACTTTTGGAGTCAGTCACATTTAAGATTGTTGCCACAGGCAGCTAATCTTAGAAAACAGACATGGCTGTAACAGTCAATATTACAATTATTGACCTAAAACTGGGTGTGGTGGTAGCTGAGAGTCATCCCTGATTTATTTTAGAGCTAATTGATCATGCTAGATCTGTTCTTTAAACTTTGTCATTGACTATTGTTGCCTTTTAGCAAACTAGCTTATTAACCACTTAATGGAAGCATATTGGATTTACGTTTACAACTGATTAAACTTTGGAGTTACCCAGTTCAAGATGGCTGCCACACACGGCTACTGTAATTTATCTAAGAAAATACAAAACTGGTTGAAACTCAAAGACAGATTTCCAGAAATTGATATAAAGACTGATGTGTTAGTAGCTGACAGTCGTGAGTGGGACATTTCAAAATTTAGCATGAGATCACACGTTTTCATCTTCAAGGTTTGGCCAGATTGGCTACATCTCCATCACTCCTCATCACCAGATGATCTTGGCTTAATATGTTGGCACAAAAAGCGAAATGCATTTCTTTAAGGAATGCTCTGCCTTTATTTTATTTTTTTTTTCATAACTGGACTGTGTCAATTTAAGATTTTTTTTTAACTCTGAGTTGTATTACTGCTGTGTTCACTCAGCATCTCGGAGAGAAAAGGCCAGGATGAGTTTTTGAGAGGAAAAATGAAACAGCCTGTTGAAATCAATCTCGCCATCAATGAAACGGAGCTTTCTGACTGACATAGCCGGACCCTTGAGTGAATGCCACCCATGATCTTGATGCGGTATTGGTACAGTTCACTTTGATGCTCCCAGCCTCCCCCAAGTAACACGGGGATGCTGCCAGACGGGTTCAGCTGACCTTTTATCGATTTCACTCGATGACTTCCTGCAGTGACATTCACATTCCATGTCCGTTATCTTGGAATCAATGGGGGCAAGAGATTGATGTGGCTATAGAAATTTAAATTTTTCAAAAAGTTTGAGGACGCCTTCACTCCGAAGGTCAATCCTTTAGAGCTGTTCCCAGCCTTTTGGGGAACAAGCTGAATGAACACATCAGACCAAAAGAGTTAAATATCAAACAGAAACATTTACATTCGTACAATTAGAAATTTGCAGAAAAATTAATTCATGCAAGAAATCTTAGTACATACTTATCTCCAGTGGTGGGCACCAGTCCGCTAAAGCGCAAATCCACTAATTGCGGACCTAAATATTTCGTTTGCGCTTTAGCGATCTTACTGATTTTTATAATTCATAAGCGGATTTGTGCTTTCTAAAATTAAAATGCAGTACCGCTAATAACTAATTATCTACCAGTCATCATTATCTTGAACAGCGGAAGGTATGGCTGTCAATGAATCACAACACACGTGATCTATCCAACAGCACCCCTCCGAGATAAACACACTTATTGGGAAGGTATACAACCTTGATGACTGTTGCTTTTGGCCATGGTTCTGATTTCCCACAATGCTTTGTGTCTGCTTACATAGCAGGAAGGCAATGTTTAGAACTCCCTGTCCCAGCAAAAACAGTTAACGTTTGTAATCCATACTAAAATTTTGTCTGTATTGATTTATTTTACTTTACAATCGGAGCTCCTTTTTAAAAAAAAAAGTTTAAACGCTGGAGCTTAATACTTGACGTAATTGGTCGAAGCAGTCGGCCAATGGGGTTAGACTGACATCTAGTGGTCAACTGGAGCAACTACATGAAAAACTTTAAAATCCAAGCTCTTATTTTGAAGGGAAGATAGTTTCCTGTACTCCGTGGTTTTGTTTCCCATCACAAATCAAATCCGCCATGTACCCAGAATGCATCGCTTCAGTTTTCCAATAAACAGTTTTAAAATAACTTTATTTATGCTTTTTTAATGAAAAACCTACAACAAACAAAAGAAAAAGACAAAGAAGCAGCCGAACTAGCAATCCTCAACAACTTTTTAATTTTTACACCAGGAGCCAAAGGTCTGTTTCAGGAAATCACATCCCCAGCAATCGGCGGTTGTAGGATTAGGCTGTACAAGCGTTCATGCACCGCTAGTTAGCAGTGTTGTGCATATATTGTACATGAATTGAACTTGCGCTTTTAAATTAGCTTCCGCTAGTTTTTCTATGGCATAAGCGTTTTTGAATATGCGGACCTAAATATTTTTTTACGCACTTTAGAAATTGCGGAGCTAATTTTTGGATTAGCGCTGCCCACCACTGGTTATCTCCATTCACCTTCTTTTTTTCTTTCAAGCAGTGATTCATCAGAATCATTGCCTTTCCTCCATTTACCAGTGAATTATATGTGAGCTGCAACCCCACTTTCACTCCCATTTCCTTTCTAATCCCGTCCCATTAGCAGCTCCTGCTGTGGCCTTTACCCCCTGAGAGGCTCGTACGGTTGATAGAGGAGCTGGTAGCGTTAATAGAAGGCCAGCTGCCCGCAAGATCCCTGGCACAAAATCATTGCTCCCTGCTTTTTAAAAGCTTTGCTGTGTAAATGGACCAAAGTGTCTAAGATGATGCATGGGTCCCCGTGCCAGGTTGTCAGGGCCGATAATGATGTTACTGTGTTGGCAAGCAGAGCAGCTCGACCACAGCTAAACGGCTGGAAACGGGGGCTGACCAACAGAGACCAAACTGTATCTGGCCTTCGATTTAATGAAGATGCGAAGCTATCAAGGCTCCATTTTCTGGCAGATAAGGTAAAACGGATCGTATTGTGAATGCGTCTGGCTGTGCAGAATGGAATACAGGCTTCTGACGTTTATCCCAGATGGTGTGCGCACATCTCCACCGCATCAGTCTCTTTTACATTGTGACTGTTTTGTAATGCCTAGCAGGGGAGAGGAGAGGGAAGAGAAGCAATCAGTGGAATCCATTCAATTGAAGTATTGCTTCTTAAGGCTAGGTATGGCTTGGTTTTAAATTGGACAGCTGCATGCTTTTATTACACTTCGCACTGAAGGGTCTGAAACGACAGAGGGGGGGCAAAAAACATTTTGGCACAATGCTACAGTGCCTGGAACATCTGATCTTTAACGACTGCAGCACGTTTGTTTTATCGTCTTGTCAGAGCAGCACGGTGATTCTCTGTCTGTTCACAATGATCCCAAACATATCGAGGCATTCATTTACCAATGTAAGGGATAGTTATTTATGCAAATAACTTACCTTACACTTCTTATAACAAAGTTATAAGAGAAAATTTTACCAAGGTTTCTTCTCATTACTTTAATATTTGTCTGTGCAAAGTGAAGTGACACAATGAGGGAACTTAGACATGGTTCAAGTTGATTCATAAAGATTATGCAATCATTTATTTACACAATTGAACAAAATCATAAATTACACCTGATTGTGAGCTATTTATAACAAGCGTCTAAGTTAAAGTGAGATAAAACCCGCGTCCGAATTTCTTTTCACATTAAAACTCAGATTACTTATGTATAAACAGTAAAAGGTCAGTTCTGATGTTAAGACTAACTGTTTACCGGCACTTCACTTAGTTGTTGGCAAGGGTAAAGGGTAAAGGTAAAGGTAAGGAAATTAAAGGTTAGAATTAGTGTTTCTGTTTTAATTTTGAAAGTGTTTCAACCGGATTCAGCACGTCCTCCCTGAGCTCTCAGCTTCAAGTTGACACGTCACCCACCGAACACGTCAGCGTTACCTGGAGATGTCTGCTTAAGAACCCCTGGTCTGGCTGTCTCACCGACGACCCTTCAGGAAGCTTGTCCAGAAATGGTCCTTAGTGGAAAGGTGTCTTTCAGGTGACTTTAGTCCGCTTAAGCCGGGCCAGAGAGATTCCAGCTGTGGTCCGGTCGTCTTTCAAAATAAAAGTCTCCCCCCCAGGGAGTTTAAAAACACTTGAGAGACGGGTGTCTCTAGGTGGACATGAAGCGGCTTGCCTCTGTCCTGGACTTCAGGCCACCCTATTTAGCTGAATGGGTGAAGCCTGAGGCCCCGCTGTTTCTCCGGGGAGAACAGCTCCGTCCTGCTGCTTCGGCTTCAGCAAGAAGACTCTTTCTGCCTGTGTCTCAAGGCGTACGTGTTAGTCAGTCAGAGTGGACTGATAAGGAAAGTCAGAAAGGAAAAGAAGAGATAAGGGAGTTTTGCCAGCTGTAAGTGAAGGTCACTTCCCTGCTGTTTAAACAGACATTATATCTTCTCTGCTTCTTTTCAGACTGTAAGAAATCACTGTAACATTTATCATGATTAGTTAAACCTTCTGCTTTAAATAATCATCTGAACTTGTGTTCATATAAATGTAAGATTTTCTTAAGAAAACTCAAAATTATATTACTGATGTTTCAGTAAAAATAAAACAGTGATTTATAAAACACAATGAAACATGAAAAACATGGTGATGATTTTTCTGTGATTCATTCATTCTATTTTAGGCACGATAAAATAATAGAAGTGATTCTATATTCTTTGTGACATGTCATTATTATGATTAACAAATGCTTTAAACATTTTAGTTAAACAACCAATGAATCATGAACAGAACCGATTGTTTCTGYTTAATATCTGATTAAGAGAACTGAAGTCCTCGTATAGGTTGAAATGACCCGTCATGGCCTAAAATAAGAGTTCAGCATTCCTGCCAGTTCTCAGGCCTGTGCGAGACCTGCTTTGAGGCTGGAACTCCTGTTTCTTCACTCGAGGTGACCCCTACACCAAACACGTGGCATTTATTTCCATGTTGGTACTTAAATTTTCTTTTCCTTTTTTGTTTCAGCCCAGTCATTTAAAGAGTTCTCCCAGCTGCTGAACACGGTTGAAGAGGAAAGAAGACGTTTGGTAAGATTGCAAAGCATGACAGAGATTGCTGCAGCTCTTGTGTCACTTTATTGAAAAGACAGTTTTATAATGTTGTAAATATAAAAAAGCACATGTTGCTTAATATAGCTATCTTTTTAATATATATGCTGTGTATAGAGTCTGAATGAAATGTTTGTGCTACAATTCTGACATTTTTTCTTTTGAAATTCGGCTAACCAGTCAAGAAAAACCGCTCAGCTGTAGTTGCAGAAGGTAATGCCGTTAACTTTGTCTTTAATGCTAATGATTCTTCAAGTTCAAATCACATAAACATGTTTTTATAATCTAAACAGTAACAAGTCCTGTTTATAATATAGCTGGTAGAGATATTTGAATTATTATTAGCATTAAGAGATGAGGAGTGATCTGGATCTTGTCGAGCCATTAGCCGTTTGATTTTGAATGAGTTACGTTTATGATGTGTTTTGTCCCTTTCCCACTTAGCTGCTGTCCTCCACCCCTCTGCCTGTTTTTAGTGAAAAAGCAAAGGAGGAGCAATTGTTTCTGTTTAAGGAGGAAAAATCAAATATTACGAGGAGTAAAAAAAGACAACTACAAACTTTACTCTCCGCAACTCGATTCTTGTTTTCCGTCGTAAGGTTCAAAACATCATGTCCTATTGACCTCACTATCCTGTATAGCAGTGTTTTTCAACTCTGGTCCTTAAGGCCCACTGCCCTGCATGTTTTAGAGGTCTCCCTGCTTTGACACACCTGATTCAGGGAACTGCAGTTCATCAAAAGCCTGCTAATTAGTTACCAACTGAAATCAGCTGTGTTAAAGCAGGGAAACATCTAAAACACACAGGGCAGTGTGCCTTGAGGACCTGGGTTGAAAAACACTGCTGTACAGGGATGCACCAACAGGATAATTTCAGCCGATATCGATATCAGATATTATTATTGGTGTTATGGCCGATAACCAATATTTACCGATATTACACAAACACACAAATTAATTAGATACATATATGCTAGGGGTGTAATGATACAGAAAGTTCCTGATTCGGTTCGTTTTGATACTTTAGTGTCCGATGCCCTCCTTAATTTGTAATTTATTGAAATAAATTATGAACCTTTGTTTAATTTCAAAAGTACAGTTTTTAAATTAAAGTTTCTCAGTGGATCTGTGCTTGACAATGCAGCCTAAGTGGAGTAGTCAAACACAGATCCACTGATCCTTCAACACAGAACACCGTCAGAAGACAAGCTGATAAAATAAATGTTAAAAATCTGTATTGTTAGATACATAGTGTGTATTGAACCTAAAGTGCTTCGATACAGATACATGTATGGTTGCACCTCTAATGTATATACAAACATACCCATGCCTTTTTTTTTTGATTCTGTAAAGAACTGACCAGACCTCTGACATGGCTCTACTTCAGTTATTCCTGACTGTGCAGCATCACTAACACTATCATGATAAAACAGATTCCACTCAACCAACCATTTCCTCTCCCAAAACAGAAAAACAAAGCTAAAAAGTGAGAAATCAATATCGGATGTTAATATCAGCCCAGTTTTACTTATCCGACTGATACCGATTTTCTAAATAAAATGACTAAAATCTCAAAATCTCTCTTCTCTTTGAGTTTTTGAAGATGTATGATGGCGTCTTGAATTGTGTTGACTCTAGTTAGGTTGTAGATTTACAGCCAGTAATTACTTTCTATCAGACAGTTGTTTTTGTGTGGCGACCGTTTTGAATGGGTTGGTCAAATTTTAATCAGTTGTAGATGTCGACCCAGTCATTACTTCCCAAAAGTTTTGTTAAAGTCTTTTCAATGATTCATAAGATTTTCTTTGAACGGTTCAGACAACCGAACACACACTTACAAAACATTGCATTTTGCAGCAGGTGATAATTAATCTCAACATGAATGCAGCAGAGAAGCTTTATCAAACCCTATTAAGGCCCTTTTTTTATTCTGATGGATTTGTGAGCGTAGCTGATTTTAATGCATTTGTTATTGTTTATTGTGTCAGACAGAAAGTGACGGCTGTAGTTCTGGTTGGCTGGTCTAAAGGTCAGAAAACAAACCTCCAACAAGGCTGAGTGTCTAAAGACAAACCAGGCATGACGTAAAGGCCAAGGGCGAAGGAGGTGGAGGGTATGTCTCAGTGGGTGTCTGCGGGAGGCAGAATTACTCCCCCAACTCTTAACTTCCTGAAACCCCTCACACCATCATATGCAAAACACAGACAATTTTTTTCCTGGCTTTCAAATATGACAAATATATCATCTATTTCTATACAGTATAACTACTTTTTCAAGTTTATGACATTTTTGAGGATTTATTTCTGTCTTTTCTTTCAGCAAACCAAACAGAAAATATTTTAGAATGTGTAAGTTCTACTTTGTATGAACTTTAGTCACCTTATTCAGCTTTGGGAACGAGCTGAAATATATAAAAAAAAAAGATTTACTCCTAAACCCCACAAAGTGGTACAAAGTCACAGTAGTTAAATATTTGCAGTACAAAGGAACAGGGAGTGCCTCACATATCATCGCTCCACTTTTACATTATCTTATTAAGTTTTCTTTGTTTTATCACACAGATGTAAAAAAACTTCATTTTTAACTTACTTTTAGGTTCTTGACTTTGAAAACTAAATAATACAACTTTTAGTTTAAAACTTTGGCTGCGGGAGTTCTGTCACTTTGAGTTCCGGTTTTTATTTGTTTTCCTCTTATTTGTTCATGACCGTAGTTTAATCCTTTGAGAAGAACTTGTTTTTGATTAGTCGTCCGTCCTGGACTGTGCTTGAAGTCAAAGTCAAGAGCAGATTTAAAGGTCCAGCAGTCGTTGAAGGGATGCATATTGCCCACCACTTGTCAAGCTACAGATTTGGATTCAGGTTGTTATTGCACCAAGTTTTAGCTCAATATACATAAAACTGACAAATTAAATGAGGTTCCCTGTAAAAGTTTATCAGTTGCAGATGCAATAGTCTGTTTCAGCCACTGGTTATTGGAATATTTTACTAACAGACAGACACACAATCACAGACAGGGGTGATAAGGGCTGTTGCCTTTGGCTGTGGGTGATAATAACCACTTCTGTAAAAGTGCTTCACGCTCACGTTTGATTTATGAAAGATGAAAAGGTGAGGATAATAAAAAAAACTAAAATTGTTCTGTGGAAGCTGTTGAGAGCATTTACCAAACAAAAACCAGAGTTTAGATGCATGTCATTATTGTAAACAAGTGTTTTTGTTGCTCAGTGTGCAGAGCTCTGACTTTGTTTTTATGACGTTTTGAGAATGTAATGCTTCTGCTTTTAAATGCAGTTTTTTTTATACGTAACAGAAGTTCTGCTGCTGCAGAAACAAAGAAGTTGCAAACTATTAGGTTAAATGTTTGTTGTTGTTTATGCCTCAAACAACACTTTGTGTGCTTTATGTTGTGAGTCATCTGACGCCTGTCACAAGTAATCAGGGCAGACTTAAGGATGCCTGGATTTTTTTTTTCTTCGAGTCCGTGTCACAAAGGAGAATTACAAAGCCACGTCAGAGATGCGGCTGGCACAAAGTGGCAGCGGAGGTTCACAGCTTTATGTGTTAACAGCTCTTCTGTACGCACGGCTAACGGAGGCAAAGGAGGGAGATAGAGATGCATTGAGGCTTCTGTTTGCTGGGTTTTATTTTAAACTATCTTGTTTGAAAGAGAGCAAGAAACAAAAAAGAAATCTAGTCGAGATGCAAGGAGTGGCTGAATGGAAGAGGAGGATTTAAATGAAACCACACCAGAGGAAGCAGAAAACCGTGCAACGACAACAAAATGCATGATTGCAAAGTAATTGAAAAGTTAAAAAAAATAAAAAATAAAACTTAATAGATGAAAACATCTTTGACTCCCAGAAGCTTTAGGACGCAGTACTTCATCGGTGATAGATGTGAAAGTGTAAAAATCTATTCATAGCACTCACACTCCCCCTCGTCTCTCTTTGCTTTAAAAGAATCCTCTTTGCATCATCCTTTTTTTAACACTTCACCTTGCAGTCTGAATCTCATCAGATGTCTGGAATTTGTGAGATACGCCGCTCTGATCTCTGCTCTCTGATCCTAATGTTGGTGATGCTGGAAGATTTTTTTTTTAATTTTACTTTTCTGCTCACACACAGTTTAAATCTCTGAAGATTCAACTGCCAGCAATTTGCCATATGTAAACTTATTACTTTGATTCACCTTAATATAAAAAAATTATTAGTTTTACAACAACATTATTATGGGGTTGTAAGAAATCGTATCACTATTTGCAGCTGAAGTATGCACAGGAGTCATATTCAGATTTAAGCTTGAATATTTAATTAGACATGTAGAGTTTAACACACTCAGATCTCGACCATCTCAAGTCATCAGAAAATGCCTCAAGTGACATGTAAACATGCAAACCCCCCAGCTTCATAACATAGTCAAGTCCCACCCCGAATATGATGTCGTAGCAAACCAGGAAGTCAGAAAATACTAACAAATAAAAACAAAATAAAAACAAATAAAACTAAATAGAGTTGATTCTGTTTAAAGAAAATGGTTACAATTGTTCCCAAAGTATAAAATATAGGTGCATCTAAAATCAATTTCGTCTGTCACAAAATATCCTTCATGCTTTTATCAACTGACGGTGAAGGAAAAGCCGTAGTGATGTTTTTTAGGGCTGTGTATTGGCAAAAATGTGGCGATACGATACATATCATGACACAGGGGTCGTGATACGATATATCATGATATATTGCGAAACCGTAAGCAAGCTAAACATATTGCAAAATATTGCCATTTCTTGTCCAAAAATTCTATTTTAAAAAATGCAGTATACGGTATGTATTCTATTTATTTCCTATTTCTTATTTCATTCATGTTTTTAATTGTTAGTCCAAATGTGCCATTAAATAGTTTAACATTATATTTATGGCAACTTTTAGATTTTAATATTAAGTTATTATAACAATATGGTGACCCAACACACTAACAACATCT